CCATTTGGGGTGGCTATTTTTCCATTTCTGATTCGATCAGGACATGTCTGGAGTCTGAAGTCAGACACTCGGTTTCCAGCCCATGTCCAACAAGGACTTTGCTGCATGACTGGCTCTGGGCTTCCCTCCTCCAGCCTTGGTGTCTGGTCATGGGGATTAGAAGTCTGCCCTTCCGAGTGATGGTGAACTCATTAATCATCTGCTCCTTCCACAAACATTTCATGAGTGACTCCTATGTTCCAGGCTCTGGTCTAGACACTGAGGACACAGCCCAGAACAGAAGTGACAGAGATCCTTCCAGGAGCTCTTGCCAGTGGGGAAGGCAGACCATAAACATAGCCTATGGATGTGGAAAGTGGTAGTTAGTAGGAAGTGAAAAGAACTAGAACAATAACCAAATCGGCAGAGGTGCCAAGTGGGTTCAGTTGGTGGAGCATGCGACTCTTCAACTCGGGGTTGTGAGTTCGAGCCCCCCCGTTGGGTGTAGAAATGACTTAAAAATAAAATCTTAAAAAAAAAAAAACCTGCAAAAGGAGAGATCACAAATTTGTTTTTTTGCTTTTGCCCTGGGTTTTTTGTTTTGCTAAGAATTTTTTACAAACGTTAAGTGGTCAGAGAAAAAATGCAAAGAAGCATCATATTTTGATATTTTGTGACACGTGACAATGACATGGAATTCAGATTTCCGCATCCAGAAATAAAGTCCTGTTAGAACACAGCCACACCCATGTGCTTCCTTGTCGTTTTGAGGCTGCACGGCCCTTGAAGAAAATGTGTGCCACCGAAGGGGCCCCAAGAGTCATTTCACGATTCAGGGAGATTCTACCTAGGATGCCTTCCTGGGTTTTATCTAGAGGTGGAACTCCTACCCATGCTTCAGAGCCCCAGCTCCAATGGTTCAGAGCAGAGCAGGGCTCATTCCGGGCGTCCTAAGAGACTGGGGCAGATCGTGGTCAGGGACTTCTCGGTGAAGATGACATTTGAGCAAAGACACGGCGGAGGTGAGGAAGTGAACTGTGTGTGGAGATCTGGGGTGGAAGCGTTCCAGGAAGCGGGCACAGCACATGCAAAGGCCCTGGGGCAGGACCCTGCCTGGCATATTGGAAGATCAATGAGAAGGAGCAGAGTGGGTGAGGGAGAGAGAGGGAGGAGGGGAGGGTGGGGAGGGGATAGGTCGTGCAGGGCCTAGGGGACCGCAGGGAGGATGTGGGCTTTTCCACCCGGGAGGTGGGAGCCCTGGAGGACGGTGGGCAGAGGAGGGTGGGACCTGACTCAGGTGCTGCCCAGTGAATATTAAGGGTACTAATAATAGTAAGTCAATATGTAAATACCCTCAGATCCATGAGAACAGGCCTGGGAAGGAAACCCCAAGGGCAGGACAAGAGCACATTTGCTAGCCAGAGCAGCATTCTGCGGCTGCGGCCCCCGTGGGAACCCATCGGTGCCAGCAGCTGGGACCCACCCCAGGCACCGACTCCTTGCTGGCTCTCTGCTCCCCTCCCCTGGAGATGCGCACGCCTGTCACCTCACAAGGACCCTGACCTCCAGCAGACTCATCCACGCTGCTGTGCCTTGCTCTCCTCCCTGCCCCCCACCCCCAGGGACGCCCAGAATGGGCTCTGTCCTTCTCTGAACCATTAGAGCTGGGGCTCTGAAGCATGAATAGGAGTTTACTCACTAGGCATAAGGGAGAAGGCGTCCCTTCCCTTAGGTAGAAACGTTGAATCGTTAAAAAAACTGAGTCCCCTTTGTGGGCAAACTTTTCCATAAAAGGCCATATGGTAAATATTTTAAACGTGGCCCCTGTCACAGACACTCAGCTCTGCTGTCCCATCGGGGCGGGAGAGCAGCCACCGGAGACAAATGGGCGTGGCTGTGTGTCCGTGGGACTCCGTGTGTGGACCCTGGGATTTGAATCCCGTGTCATTTTCACCTGTCACAAATGCCCCCCTTCCTAGTTTTTCTCCCACTATTGGCACCGGTAAAAACATTCTTAACAAAACAATAAAGCCAAACGAAAAAACAAAGCAAACAAAACAGAAAGAGGTGGAAGGCCAGATTTGGCCCACAGCCAGCCCCTGCCCTAAAGCCTCCCCTGGCTCCCCATGGCCCCAGAAGATAGGCCCACAGACACTGCCTTCAAACTCGCCTGGGGAACCCCTGTGTGCCAAGCGGCTTCTGCCCCCAGGTCAGCTCCGGCGCCCACTCTACCTCCCACGGGGCCTGCCTCGCTCCCCCCGTCATGGCTCTGTCACCCCCACCGCCACACTGGGACTGCCTTGCCACCATGCTGACGGGGCTGCAAGCCTGTGCCAGAAAGACCTGGTCTGTTGTGGCTGGTGCAGTGTCCCCAGCTTTGCCCAGCACGCACTAGGTGCTCAGGAAACAGTAATATAATTTTTTTAAGATCTTTTTTTTTTTTAAAGATTTCATTTATTTATTTGACACAGAGAGAGAAAGAGAGCACAAGCAGGAGGCACAGCAGGCAGAGGGAGAAGCAGGCTCTTCGCTGAGCAGGGAGCCTGATGCGGGACTCGATCCCAGGACTCTGGGATCATGACCTGAGCCAAAGGCAGACGCTTAACTGACTGAGCCACCCAGGCGCCCCTAAAAAGATCTTATTTTTAAGTAATCTCTACGCCCAACGTGGGGTTTGAACTCACAACCCCAAGATCAAGAATTGCACAGTCCACCGATTGAGCCAGCAGGGGCCCCACCATGAATATTTCACCATAATCATTTATTTTAATATAATACTTTAACACAATATGAATTATAATTATACTTGACAATATAAATTTTTAATTATAGTTATAAAATAAACATTATAACTATCACATTCTTATTGTATTATAATTTATATTTAATTATATAAATTATACAGTTATAGTTATAATGGTAATATTATATAATTTTAAATACTATATAAAATATAACTCCAATATATTACGATAATGATCATTAACAATATATTATTAGATAATTAATTTCTTACGTATTTGTAAATCACATGACATATGCCATACTAAACATAAATTTCAATAGTAATAAAAATATTTAAATAATTCAATATACAAATGTAATACAGAATTATTTAATATAAAACCGTGTCATGAAATTATATAAAATATACGTTTTAATATAATATAAAATTATTTAAAATAAAACATATAGGGCGCCTGGGTGGCTGAGTTGGTTGGCCATCTGCTTTCAGCTCAGGTCATGATCCTGGGGTCCTGGGATCAAGTCCCGCATCGGGCTTCCTGCTCCGAGGGGACCCTGTCTCTCCCTCTGCCTCTCTCTCTCATGAAAAAATAAATAAAATCTTTTTTAAAAAATAAATAAAATAAAACATAGAACATAAAAATTAAATATTTAGTGTGCAATTGAATAGTATAGTTTTATATCATAGAATGTTTATAAATGGTAACGTGTTTAAGAGGATAATAACGTGGGCAGTCAGTGACTCACCTGCCCACACCTGCGAGTCTTCTTTCCCACCGTGTTTACTTGCCCCCGGGACATGGGCAGGAAAAGTGCGCTCTTTTCCAGCCATATCAACTGAAGCTCAGAGAGGCTGGGCAGCCCTCCCCAGGTCACACAGCAAGGCAGGGAGAGAAGTCCCCCCGATCTCGGCAGCGGGGGGGTGTCGCAGGGGCTGCGGGGCCCCAGCTAACTGCTCTGACCCCCCGGCAGGTCTTCATCGCTCAAACAGTGCTGCGCAGCCCTCCCGCCATGAGCCCCACGGGGCAGCTGTCCCAAGCCACTGAGCAGCAGCTGCTCATTTACCTGCGCGTGGCCACCTGGAACCAGATCCTCGACCCCTGGGTGTACATCCTGTTCCGCCGGGCCGTGATCCGGCGCCTCCACCCTCGCCTCAGCACCCGGCCCAGGTCGCTGTCCCTGCAGCCGCAGCTCACCCAGAGACGCACGGTGCAGTAGAGCCTGAGGGGGCAGCCGCACGGAAACCCCCCCCAGCCAGCGCGTCCCTCCTGAGATCTCCCTCCTCCCTGACGGTCACAGCTGCCTGTTCTGGGGTTCCAGGAGCTGGGAGTATCAGAAGGACCAAGCCTTTGAATGGCAGGATCGTGGGCTGTCCTCCATCAGCGTTGGGGACTCCCCAGCTCGTCCCCCTCCCCGTCCCCGCCCCAGGAAGGGTGGGCAGGCATGTTAGGGGGGTGTGTGAGGAAACGAGACTTGCAAGCCTCCCCTTCCAGAAATCCTCTGGGAATGGGGGACTCCAAACCCTGACTTTGACCTGCTTCCTGGGGTACAGTTGATCCCCTCGGGTACCCCAACCCGAGAGGGCTCTGCTTAGGAAATACTGAATGTGCACAGGTGACACACCCCCTCTCTTGCCAAAATATATCTTGGCCCCCCCAGCCTTACTTTCCTTTGAGTCTGGAAGTCATCAATCTTTCAAGTTGGCGCATCAGATCACTGTTCCACCGCGTGCCCACGGCCGGCAGCCGGAGCAGAGCTGGGGGGTGGGGGTGGGGGCGGGGCAGAGGGGGGACCTGTTTTTTGTGTTTTTTTTTTAAAGATTTTATTTATTTATTTGACAGAGAGAGACACAGCGAAACCAGGAACACGAGCAGGGGGAGTGGGAGAGGGACAAGCAGGCTTCCCGCTGAGCAGGGAGCCCCATGTGGGGCTCGATCCCAGGACCCCAGGATCATGACCTGAGCCGAAGGCCCAATGACTCAGCCCAATGACTGAGCCACCCAGGCGCCCCTGGGGGTACCTGTTTCTTTCACTCAACACTTCGGACTCCCAGCACCTTGAACAAACAGCACCTGGCCCATAGTAGGTGCTCAATAAACATCAGTTGAGGGGACAGGTGATTGAGCCTTTGCAGAGCGCCCGTAACACTTAGTAAAGGGCTTGGCACACAGCAGCCGCTTAGGAAGCATCGGTGTGGTCATGTGTGCCCCCTAAACCCTCATGCCTGCCCCTTCCTCTGCCTTCCCACGAACTCCCCCAGAAATGACACACCCAGCTGCAGGGAAAGGTGCCTTTATTCCCCATGAGCCCTCAAGGTACATGAGGACAAGATTACCTCCTGCCCCCCATTTCTCCACCTCCTGCCCCCATGCCCCCCCCACACACCCAGCTTTCCACTCCACAGACCTAGGATCTGCTTACACCTCCCAGAGCCAGGCCCAAGTGAAAATAGAGCCCCTGTTTCCACTCTCCCTACTCTCCCCACCCCTACCTGCTGGGGGAGTGAGGTCACCTGCTGCTTCCAGGGGACCCAGGCTGGGAGGGGCCAGAGACAGGATGGGGGGATCATGGAAGCCAAAACCGTGTCACCCTCAAGCTACAGCTCCCCTTGGTAGGGGAGGGGCTCTGACCCCCAAGGAGCAGGCCCTGACTCCTTGAGCGTGTGGGAGGGAACAGGCCTCTGGGCTAGGGATTCAGGGGTCTGGGAATGCAGGAGGGCCACCCTGGGGGCAGAACTAGAGATGACAGATGTGGTGGGTGGAGTGGACTTCTGGGGTCCTAGCTGGGGCTTGGGGAAGAGGACTGGTTTCTGAGGGGCTGACGGGGTCTGTGGCTGTGGGGCCAGGTGGGAAGTTGGTGAGCTTCGGCCCAGGACAATGTTGGCCTGCGTTCCATGTACCAGATCATGGGGCTGGGGCCGTGGCTGAGACACTGTGCTAGGGGCCAGAGTCGGGGCTCTGCGTGGTGGGCCTAGGGGCTGATGTTGGGCTGGGGGAGTGAGATCAGCCTCGGTTCTAGGGTCAAGGCGAGGGATCTGTAGGTGGAGTCCATTTCTAGAGCTGAGCTGGATCTTTGAGCTGGTCTGGGTTCTGGAGCTGGACTGGGTTCCAGAAACAGGTTGGGTTCTGGAACTAAGGTAAGTTCCAGAGCTGGGCTGAGTTCTTGAACTGCTCTGGGTTCCAGACTTGGGC